ATTGTTACAGGAACCGATGCTTTGTTCATTGGCCGTATAGCTTACAGCTAGTTTGCAGACCTGGTCCCTAAGACATAGAAATACATGACATTTACATTATACATGCATCATTATATTAAAAATGATTAGAGTCTTGCATTGTGCTCACAAGTTTGGTTCTTTTTGAGCCATAGTTTGACTTTAATTTAAAACTCCTTCAGGTCTGTAGAGCTTACAGTTCTGCAGGTAACGCTTCTGAACCATGAATGCTAGTCCTATGCTAGATAGCCTGTGTGGAGTTTATATGTTCTTACAGATTCAGATTCAGATTCATTTTATTTGCCATTTGCAGTAACACTACATTGGAATACATTAGTAAAAGTTCCCCGTGTGCACAGGACAAGTACAGACATAAAACAACATTAAAAGACAAAAATAAAACAAATTTTAAAAACAGTAAACAAATGTCACTGTGAAGTTGACCAACTAAAACAGATCTATACAAGTGCAAAAACATTAAAGTGCTCTATTCAAACTGATAACAGCTCGTGGAAAAAAACTATTAGCATAACGAGATGTCCTGCATCTCAGAGAACAGTATCTTCTGCCAGAGGGAAGAAGCTGGAACAAGGCTTTTCCTGGGTGGCCAGAAGAGTCATTGATAATTCTCAGGGCACTGTTAAAAAGTCTGGATTGATAAAGAGCCTCCAGGACAGGAAGTTCACAGCCTACAGTCCTCTTAGCAGAGCGGAGCACCTTGTTTAAAGCTCTCTTTTCTTTATCTGTGATGTTACCGAACCACACATATACTGTGTCTTTTCTCCGGGTGTTCCAGTTTCCATTTCACGAATGTGTCTATTGCTAGAAGGTGTTTGTCATTTTGTCCCCCTCATACAGTATAACCATGGATGGAGTCAATGGAAATTACCTAAAATGATTGTTCTGATATAAAAATAAAGCTGACTTACTATGTTACTAACACTTGCTGTAATTTGTAGATTGCATATTTTATTGTCAATCTGGTATATGTGTTAGTTTTAACTAGAAACTATACAAATATATATCTTTTTTTACTTGCATTATTCTCACTGTGCACTATTAAAGTCAGTCAAGCCCAGATAACTGTGCAACAAGAGGATTTGAGCTACACCTCTTGACGTGTGTCCAGAGCGCCAGGCTGTAATTCTGAAAGCACTTGAGTAAAGCTGAGGTGAAGGAGTTAAAGCGTGGTGTTTTTTGCGGGAAATAGATGAGTGAGTTTAAACGCTGGTGAAGGCAAACAGTTGTCATGGCGGCGGACAGAGTGTGATAGATGGTCAGTCTGTATGTGTGCGGCTGCCCATCAACCCTGCTCTCAGCATCGCCCGCAGCGTGTAATAGCTTTGGCTGTCAAACCACCATCCCCACATTAGTGCAACATGTACAGTATATATATTGACCATTCGTCCCTATTTTTTTATACATACTTCAAACATTTTCCCGACTACATTCATGTGTGCATCTTTTTATTGTGTCAATCAAAGCAGTTGTGCGAACTTCCAGGTTGTTTTTGAGTGCTTCTTAACCTCTGACAGGTGCGGTGCGGGCTCAGCCAATCGATAAGCCGGGTCAATGTGAAGTGTCTGTTTCCAGCTCTTATTATAGGACTTGGATGCTCAGTGGTGCACAGCGGCAGACCTGCTCTCACCTCTAATCCACCTCAAGATTTTCCCAAACAACACCCCTGTGAACGTTACCAGGGCCTCTTAACATACCAGAGAAAAACACAGATTTTGATTTGAAAGTCAAGGCAATAAAGTATTATAATGACGAAACACTATTTATAGTGGACATGTACTAATCATATCACATAAGCTAACTTTAATTATGTATGCAGTATTCATCAAATAATTTTCAATCTAGAAAGACATTTCTAGATCTAGAATGAGCAACAGTTACATTAAGTAAATTGCTTTACTTGTATATTGATGAACGCAAATATGTTGTGTGTCAACGCTTAGAACCCGGCAGATACAGGGCATGAGATATAAAGAAGAGAATTCACGATTTGTATCAAATTCTGAAATGAAACTTTTACCATATATCTTAAATATAGGGGTGTGCTATGCTGAGTATTCACTTGCCTTGTGTTCTGTGCGACTCATACCTATTGTTCTGTATTTTACAAAATGTCCCTTAATCTGAAGTGATTATCTGATGAAATGAAGAAAAGTCCCACTGTTGATGATGAGGAGGAGGTTTGTGGCTCGAGCTGAGGCTGATGGATCGTACAAGGCACTTGTTTAGATGCAGGTTCATTAGCTGTTAGGCTGCACTGAGGGGATCGCTAAAGAAGAACCAGTGTGTTTTATGGGAGAGAACTGGAGTGAAGCAGCTGAGATAGTACCAGAGCGGGGACAGAGGACACCAGTCTTTAGTCCACTTTAGCTCCACATGTCTCAACCTCGGTGGAACTGAGCCTGTCCAGTCATCTGAGTTATACTTTGTAATCAGTAACAAACAAGTGCTGCTTGAGTTGGGCAGAACAAAACTGACTTATTTACTTAACCATGTTCCTTTAGTAAGACTCAATCAATACAGAAAGAAGTTATATAGTTTCTGCACTGCAACAATATTGTTTTGTTACTGGTATAATAGAATTTTCTGTGAATACTACACTACTGCTGTATGGGTTTCTGGCATTTCTCTGTTGAACAACTATGATACAAACACTACCCTTTTGTGTCACGATCAAAACTGCCCCTCTTTTCAGTTCATTAACTTTGCATTTACGATTTTAAAGAAGGTGCTCTTCTATGGCTTTTCCAAATACGCCCAATCTTGTTTAAAGGCATAAATTAAGATACTCCAGTCAATTACCGACGCTTTTTACTTTTCCCAATGTTGTTCACGAGACTAGTGCCTCTTCAAGGTGAACGACTTGAGGAAAAAAATAGGAAGATAAACCTAATAAAGCGCAAACACCGTCAAATCTGTGGCGGCAGAAATGGAGCAGTGCAGACCTCTTCTAAAGCGTGTTCATTACTTGGGAGCAACCAAACATAAAAAACTGGAGCCAAGGGAGGTTTTCTCTGTCAACTAAGGTTTGCTTGTGCAGATTCAAACTCACACCAGCCAAATTGTTCCTGCTTGTTTGTGCCTTCGAGCCATGGACACATTTTCATCATCCCAGGACTCCCAAGTACAAAGGACATTAACCCAAGTCGCTGCAGCTAAATACCCTGTAGCAAAGACTTCATTTACAAGTGTTGGGAAAGTGTTTAAAGAGAGATTCTAAATAAAAACCACAAGATTTAGATCATTTACTTGTTTTTTCTATATGTATCTTATATTGCGCAGACACCACTCCACACAATCCTCCAATTCCACCATTCTCAGTAAGTTAAATAGTGTCATGACTTTTGTACTGCCCCTAATGCCTTTTTTATATTATTTGTTGACGTTTGACTCAACCATTGACATAATTCATTGCTAATCCTGCTGCAGCTTTTTCTGTTCTCAGCAGGACTTACCCCTCTAAGCTGGCCTTAAACAAAGTGTGCGCTCCAGCTTTGTTGCTAGTGTTTTTATTGGGTAAACTTCACAAACTGCCGTTCTTTCTGTTCTGCCAAAACCTTGATTTGAAGTGCCAGCATGCCCTTGAGCAAAGCAGTGTGCTTATCGAACACTACAACACGGTTTAATCTCCTTCTCACGCTGTGTTCAAAGGCCTGAGTTAGTGATCCTTTACTGTCGCTTCAAGGAGAGGGACACGGAGCTGGGTTAGAGTATGTGCAGACTGTTGACCAATGAAAATGAGTTTACTTTGCCCATACATAAGGGGTATGTTAGCTCAATCAGGTGTCCACATACCTCTCATGAGTTTCTTGATCAAATATCAAAAGCCCAATCTGATGCATTTTCATTCTTTGGCTATGTTTTCACTATAAGGCTAATATTCAATTGAGTGACGAAAATCATTTAGTGTAGTTGTATGTTTCTACCGTGTATCGTAAGCATAACTTGAGAACCTCCATTTACCACCCAACCAGTGGATGTCCTCACCATTCACCTTTTTTATTTTACGCTCAGTTAATTCTCTTTTCTGCTAGTTCACCATCACCATGTGGTATGTAACAACTGCTTTCACTAATTTCACGCCCCATCCAACCTATTTCTATTCATACAGTATGTTCTTTATAATCAAATTAGAGTTAGCATAGATGAGTCATTGCTTTTGTTGTTATTTTCTGCTTGCGTTTCTGACCATGTAATCCTTATATTATCACAGCAAATTTGTCCTTGCTCTTTGTCTTTGTGGCGGTGACAAAGACGTTTATTTCATTGTGACGGCAGTGATGGAGGCTATTTGGATTTGGATTTTGGATATTGAAAATAACTGTATTGTTGTTATTCATCTGATGATCCTAATTTGTTATTTGAACTTTGCCGACAACATGCTTGTACTGACAGAATAAGCTTAGGCCTCACAATCAAAAAGCATCAAGTTGATCAGTGACAATTGACACGGTTATCTCGATTCATGAGAGGAGCCAGCTGAGGTGGCTTGGGCATCTGTTTTGGATGCCTCCTGGTTGCTTCCCTGGAGAGGAGTTGTAGGCATGTCCCACCGGGAAGAGGCCCCGGGGAATACTCAGGACACGCTGGAGAGACTTTATCTATCAGCTGTCTTGGGAACACCCCTGGATTACCCCCAAATGAGAACGTTTTTGTGGATAAGCAGGTTTGGGGTCCTGCATTAGCTCTGTAAACGGATAAAGCTGTTTTGTTCAAATCAAAATAGGCCACATGCAAGGCTAAATATCTGCTTTATTTGCGCACCTAGTATGTTAAAAGGTTTGGGCAGTGGAGCGCCCAGTTTCCTTTGTCCTGCTTGTCTAACCTTTAGAGCTAGTTTTCATCGAGCAGCTTGTTGTAGACGTGGTTCATGCTCAGGTCTCATCGATCCTTTTCTAATAGGGCTGTGCAGGTATGACCACATGCCTGAGTGCTCACACTAAAAACCTGTTTGTGTTTTTCAGACTGGAGTCCCCAACCCGAACCCTGACCCTGGAGGCACCCCGAGGAGTGGAGATCAATGCCGGTGTAGGGGACTTCACAGCGTCCTGCAGAAAAGACCTACTGCTGCAGTCCTCAGATGGAGAGGCAAGTAGCAACGATTATGTACAGTATTATGCTCTGTAATAGTGTTGGTTGGTTTGTGTAAGGTTTTCATGATTTTTTCTTTTCTCAGACACACAAAAAGGCGCATACAACACAAAAAACAAAAACATATACAGACACACAAACATTCAATATTTACAAAATTCTGTAAAGATAGTTTCTCCAGTGCCTCCAGAGTTCAGAAGTGTTCCTAACACGCTCTCCACATGAGAAGTAAAAACTTTCACAATCACATTTAAAGAGTTCTCAGTCAATTTCATAAAAGTATACATACAATTTCTGATCACAGCATTCAGCAAGGGTACATTATTTTGAGCAAACAGAGAACAGGCATTGGTCCAGCGACAAACTTTCAGTAAAAGTCTTAATTGTGTCTTTATTCTGCGCACATGGAATAATATCCAATCAGGAAGCAGTTTGAAGAGGAAAGATAAAAATCATGTTGAAAATGTACAGAAAGCATATAGGGGTGTATTTTTCTATAATATTTTTTCTACATCTTTATTCATCTAGGGACAGCTCAAAATGAAAACAAGACTCTTTTGTCAAGAGTGTCCAGCACATAACATACACAGCCTTTTTTAAATCAATAAAACAAGTTTATACCCATCCATCCATCCATGTTCTACCCCTTAATCCATTTCTGGGTCGGGGGTGTGGCCAGAGATGCCTCCCAGTACACATAGCACCAGCCCCTCACTGATCCTCCTGCAGGTGGTGAGTCCACAGGAGGATGACCACTCTATGGTATTGCCTTGATCTTCCAGCGGGGGCTTCAAGCAAAGTAGGGTTAAGTGTATCAGTGGGAGTCTCATGGTGTGTTCGAACCCATGACCTTCACGCTCAAAGGCCAATGCTCTACCAACTGAGCCACTGTCGCCCAAGTTTATACCAAAATTGTTTAAAGTTAAAGTGGTACCAGAGGGTCCAATTTAGCGACAAATCATCAAAACTGGAAAATACTTGAAATCCTTCCCGAGGACAGATCTTGTGCGAGCAGTATTTCTAAAAACAGATGGTCCTGTGATCTTGTATTTAGAGATCCAAGAGCTCCGGTTCAACATAAATGTCAGATTACCAGACAGGTTTTCAAGTCCTTCTATAAATACATTGAATAAAATGTTGCGCTCTTCTAACAGACAGCAAAAGGCAACCTATAAATCAGTAAAGTGTGCAGTGATGAGTTTTGAACCTGCGATGGAACGAAGGGCCGAGGGAAAAAGGGAATCTACTGTAATGGCTTGATAGCAGAGGAAGAAGCTGCATTATACGTAAATAACATCCCTCTTTTCAAATATAGACCAAGCGGAGGAAAAGACACATTCACATCTTTACTCTGCATTATAACATCTATCAAAAATGTGGTTTGACATAAAGTAACTATATTAACTTTTAGTAACTGGACCAACACTTTTAAGATTAAGAGATTCTTGATTCGTCCCACAGTGGGGAAATTTTAGTCTTGTATCACCAATTACAGAACAGTGGGAATGAGCACCCAGCACAGGGTAAGATAAATAAACACAACTCTATACTAAAATCTATACTAAATAGAAAACATAACATAAAATCTCTAGCTTTAACATGATGAGGAAGCTGTCTATGATCTATAATAAGAAGCGAGAATTAAGTAAAAAATCTCTGACTTTAGCATCACAAAGAAGTATGGATAATGCTGTAGTCCATAAATATATAGTTGTATGTATACATCTGTGACTGCTAGGCAAGGCAAGTTTATTTGTATAGCACAATTCATACTCAAGGCAACTCAAAGATAGCAATAAAATCATAAATAATCACAGTACATCAAAAAGAAAGATACAAAAAATAAACATTCAAAATCCCTCAGTTGTATGCACAGAACCGTTTTTCAACCTGGATTTAAACATTGTCAGAGAGGAGGCCTGTCTCACATTTTCAGGGAGATTGTTCCAGATTTTAGCAGCATACATCTGAAATGCAAATTCATATTGCACATTCTGGCTGGAGATATTGCAGTGAGGTCGACAGTGTCCGTTAGTCCTAATCGTAGGTTGCACAGTCCTATTACGTTACCTGCTTTGTCAATGAAGTGAGCAGTTACTTACAGACTCAAAAAAAAGTACCGCATGTATTTGTTCCTCTCTATGTTTGTATGTGGATATAATAGACTGGCAATGAATTGAGATCTGTAAGTTATCTAAGCTATTTTAGATAATGGACTACTGAAATAACATAATTGTCCTTGGCGCTCCTTCCTATTGATTATCTTTAATGGCGCTGTCTCTGTCTAATCTTGTTAAAGGCTAAAAGTTACAGTAGAATTCACTTGTGAAAACTTAAGGACAGGAGGAAAACAACACATAAAAGTTAGAAAAATGTCCTCCTTTGCACAGTGAAGTGAACAACAGAAAGTGTAGAGGTGTGTGCTGGGACTCTGTGGCAGGGCCTAGTGTTGGGTGTGCTTCATTAAAGTACCTTATTAGGCTAATGAGCGTCATCAATCCCAGCGACCTTGTCCTCCTCCTCCCCTCCTCCTCTCTCATCCCTCTATTTCGCTGCTTTTCTGTTTGGGACAAGTGACTTCATTAAAGGCAGCCTGATGAGCTTTGCTGTCTCTGCCGCTGTTATGTGCGTGTCACTGTTAGCCGATATCTTGCTGTCAGGCTCTGTGCCCAGCCAGACTTTTTGTGTGTATGACAGCAAGTGTGTGTGTGCGTGTGTGTGTGTGTGTGTGTGTGTGTGTGTGTGTGTGTGTGTGTGTATGTGTGTGTGTGTGTGTGTGTGTGTGTTTGCGCGTCTGCCCAAGCACAGTGTGTCATAAACTCAGTAATTAACAGAGGAATGGGCATCGTGCATTGTACTCGCAGTCATCATTCACTTCCATTCTTTACATTCTCTGAGCAGTATTAGCACGACAGCAACAACACAATGTATGTTCAGTGCACTTCCTATGTCTGATGTTTATAATAATAAGAAGAATAATAATGCATTGGTTTTATATAGCGCTTTTCAGGACGCTCAAAGATTTCACTCCATACGCGGTGGTGATAAACTACTACTGTAGCCATATCTGCCCTGGGGCACACTGACAGAAGCGAGGCAACCATGTTGGGCCCTCTAACCACCACCAACCATTCACACACACATCAGACTCATTCATTCATTCATTCGACTAATTGGCACATTACAGCTGCAGCCGCACCACTGTAGCACCTTGTGTTCACAGAGGTCTCCCATCACAGTACTAACCAGGCCTTACCCTGCACAGCTTTAGAGGTCTGAGAGGATTTTTTGCATGCAAGTATGGCCACAAATACCAAGCATAATTTGGTTAATTCAACAGAGAACTTCTCAATTTAGTTGTAACAATGGGTTCTAATTGTTTTGTTTTTTATCTTATTTAGATTTTATTCAATCAAGATTTTATGTCAAACTGCTTTTTTCAGTGGGTAACACATAAGGCCAATTTACACTACCCCATAATGTGCCGTGCGTAGCCTCAAGGGGCCCCTTCATAGCCTACCTACCTCACACCCTCAATGGGTGACGGAGACCGCAAGGGCTGTGATTGGTCTCTTGAAAATTTTTAGGGGGGAATTGCAATTGCACACTGCCCTCTGTCCACGCTTAGTGACCGAGAGAGGCGTCAGTTAAAAGAAAAGTCTTGAGCGGCAAGCATGACCAAAAAAACATGTTTATAAAAGAAAAGACCCATAAATTGACCTGTGCACAAGTGCAGGATGCCCCTATACTTCAGGAGAGAGTCATGGATCACTTTTACATTACAATGTGCAGTAAGCCTCTATACTTCGTTGATCAGCTGGGGGTCATTTGAATAGCATATCACACGACAGAGGAGTATATGGTTCCAGGGGTCCCCGGTAGTTACACAGAGATCTGCAGTTATGCAGCACTGCAGCCTTTAGAAGAGAGAAGAACATTAGTTATTGAAGGGATTGTAGATGCAGGTTTTGCATGCATTTCTGAGATCAACTGTACAGCCCTAAATGCATAAATAGTCCTTCATACCATGTAAACAGGTTTGCTGGTATAAAAAGGAAAAACTTTTTTGAGAACGTATACATTGGCCTGCTAGACCCTCCATTTTTGAAATACAGTTTACCAGACAGCACTAACATTTAGGCTGAATGAATCCAACCCAGAGGATTCAGAAAACCTTCATTATGTTGTGCTCAGAATAGGGAAAAAAATACAAATATAACAGCAGCAGTGGAAGTTTTCATATGCCGTTTTTCAAAGTCCTCATCAGTCTCATCATTACTTCCTGTTCCTCCATTGTTTCTATTTCCTGTTTAGTTGTGTGTCTTTGTCTGCTCCTCTCTTCCCCTTATCTTGAGGCCCTCATCACTAAAGTAACGGGGCCTATCTAATTAACTTTCTGCAGGCAGGGTTATACATCACTGTGTCTGTCACTGCTCTCAGACAGAGAAGGAGAGCCGGATTATAATTTTTACCTCTTTTCTGTCACCTCTCTCTTCTTGGTTTTGTGTTTTCTTTTGTCTTTTCCCTTCCTTTGTTCATCCATTATCTGTCCCCCTCTCTCTGTCTGTCATCTGTGCATAAATAGACGTCTCTGTATTGAACAAAAGCGCTCGGGTGACTGGAACAAGCATAGTAGCGGAGGCCTCTGGCAAAACTGGGTGATGACAGCAAAGGAAAAGTTAAGATTTTTCTGACACTTCATCACCCTATGGCGTGCAAAAATTACATGGGGAATTGGGCTTACAGCCATTTTGCATCACTCTTTTGAATGTTGCTTCTATTTGAATTAAAGGTTGTCATCTTTTGTCCCTGATTATTTTAAAATATGTCACACTAATTTAAAAATTAGTATAATAATGTTTCTGAAAGTCTAGTGAAACGTGAAATGGCATAAAATTCTTTGTTTCTTTCATCATGACTTTTGACAGTATTATACCAGAGGTTCCATTAATGCAGGGGTGCTCACACTTTTTCAGCATGCGAGCTACTTATAAAAG